TATAAAAAATATATAACATATATATCGAATCGGATAGGGGTGATTTGAATCAGATCCGATTTCTGATTGGGTCCTATTATCCAACCCGAAGATCCAAATAAGAGTGATCCGAATTTGACCAAATATGATTCGATATCATATTAGATCAGATCATGATCCGATCCATTTGCACCCCTATCCTCGTTATTTTCCACTGCAACAATTATCATCACCACTGGTAAGAATTTATGCACTTGCTACTATAAAATTAGCTGGATTTTGGGAGAAGCGTTCCTAATTTCCCATTACTATCATATCGTATGTTAACCCATGTTGTAACTGAGATGCATGGAATCATAACACAAGGTATGGACTGAAATGCAATAAACCTTATAGAATGCCTATGAAAGTGTGGTGTAGTTCAATCCATACATCTTTATCTACAGTATAGAATAACTACCTTGTTAGAGGGTAGTGTAGATGAAAATGCACCACCTTATTTCTCATCTATACTATAGAACACCCCTTTAATATAACCTTACCAACATCCAAATATATGGATCATATATTAAGTTGATTTGTGGCCCGATTAATCTCTATGATCAGACACGCTTATATATTAATGGTGGATGTTAATCCTCTGATTGTGGGGCATGTTGTAAGTTCTGAGCCCCCAAATGGTCTTACACTGAAGGATCATACTTTTTGAAAACCCCCAGCTTCTGCCTTTGTTTATTATCTATCTCACACTATAGGTAAGATGAGGAGAAGAGAGAGAGAAAGCATTTAATAGAACAAAGTCAAATGCAACTTGAAGTCAATGAATCAAACATTTATCTAAAAGAAAATGCAATCTCACCTTCCGCCATTTTTTCAAGCGTCTACTTGATCCCTATTCAGCTTTTCTTTCAAGTGTCAATTAACTCCTAAAAAAAAAACATTATGCCTCTTTAGGAATGAGCCAAATCTTCTTAAATATAAGAAGAAAAGTCAATAAGGGAACAAAAATCCCTCAAATAATACTAATAGAATGGTATATGTGGGACTAGGGAAGGTGTGGGGTTATGCATGGATTTAGCTGCTATAAACTATGCTGAAATGATGTATATGTACATGATTATTAAATAAGAACCAAAACAGCCAAAGCATAGCATGCAGCTCTGGTATGGTAGGAATGACATTGTAAAATTGATGAGCTTTCATGTTTGAGCATATTAAACTTTGATGCATCCAAATAATGTAAGAAATCAATGAAGAACAAGTTATTTCATGCTTGTCACAGTGTTTAACTAGTTATTTTTGTAATAAGTTTCCATAAACAAGTACAAGCCTCTTTAGATCAGATAGTTAAGTTTACAATTCTTACAAGGTTGCCGATGATGATTTAATTTTAGATCAATTCCCAATTCCCAAAGAAAAGACTTATATTTTGTAGCTTTAGAAAATCTATCTAATTTACCATTTTAACTAGTTTGCCAAATTCGGGTTTGGGCTTCTTCTGATTGATCTATTTGAGAGTATACAATTTATTACAGACTTTAAAGCTTCTAAACATCGTAATTATATTTGACCATCCAATTTAATCTAGACCATTTACCATCCCGATTCAGCCATTGCAAAGCTAGGAAGAACCTTTAAAAAAAAATCTATAAAAATTAGCTAGAGACCAAACATGGCCTCTCTTCTATTAAGTTCTTCAAAATAACTTTCATGGTATTAATAAGTTATTTAAAATAACATGGCCTCCCTATTAATGTTATTTGAGTACTTGTTTCAAAGTTCACATGCCTCTCTTCTATCAAGTCCTCATATTCATGACAAAAGTAGCACACTAGACATTGTCTTGTTAGAGAATATAAAAACCTATCGAGGACCTCTCCTTCTAGCTTAAACTTTTAAGTTGAACACTAGACATTGTCTTGCCAACGCTTCAAAACTCAATGGGTTTTTGCATAAAAGGGTTTGTAAAACAAAAACCTATTCAGAGATCTTACCTAAGTGCTTAAACTTTTAGATTGAATGATTCCTTGACCCTTATGACATTATACCAAAAAGATCCACAGATAATTTCTAAATGACAATAAGGACCTTAACCCCCTATGACATAGTCTCATTTAATTTTAACATGTCAATAATACCTAACGCATGCTGAATGACAAAAAAGGTTTCTGCAACTTGGATCTTAGACCCTTTATTTGTAGGGTCATGAAACTGGTATTGCTTGACTTATTTTTTAGTTCATCAATTTATTCAAAGTTGATAAATTCTAAGGCTTATACAATAAGGAAGCACATTAATTTAGATTTTTATTGGTATGCCAAAGATTTGAAAATTGAACTAGGTTGACCGTGCAATTTCAAAGATATAAACATTGATGAGGACTGATGGAGCGCAATCCGGCCGGTCCTAGCTGTCAACGATTTTGCCTCTAGCTGGAGCAAAAGGTGCCTGAAACAGAGAAGAAAGCGAGTAATCTCCGAGGAGGAACCCGGTGAGAGTGCTTCGAAGTTCAAGTTAGTATTTCCTCAAAGGCAAGATAAAAACTAGATGGCGCAAAGTTATCACATACCTCATTCTTGGGGGGGAAGAGAGTCTTTTATAACTAGGTCGGGTATCATTACCTCTGCACTTCTGCCAGTTCGAGTGTCATCACCTCTGCTGGGGCAGACAACCACCACTGCTCTCTTTGTCAGAGCCGTCTCTGTGACTGGAGGTGGCGGTGGCAGGTGGCCGTTGAAGTGTGGCTGTYAAGCGTTAGATCCTAAGTCAGTCAGGTGCGTCGCCTCAGGATACAGACTCCTTTGGTGTTAGGTCAGGTATGGTTGTTCAGTTCGGCATCCTRGAGACGAAGTGCTGGAATGGTGTGGGAGGTGAAGTCTTGAGTTTGGATAGAGGTGTGGCCCGAACTGCCCCGGGGCGGGCCAGTTCGGGTTGTTGCCCTTTACGCTCCTCGTAAGGCTCGGGGTCAAAGGGAGAGTTCGGGCTCCTCTTGGGGAGCTCGGACCGCTGGTTCATTCTTTCGGAGCTCACGCCTTGAACATACTGCCGTACCGAACTATTGCTTCTGCCACGTATTGAATGGTCAAGAGATCGGGCCAAATCTTCTTTCATCAAGGACCTTCCACTTAATAAACCAAGACCGAACATTGATCTACTACCTTGATGCATGTTCATCCATTTTTGCCAATTTAGGTCGGTGGCATTTTAGCCATTTTGAAAACAGCCATTAATCAAAGTTTATTTTGTGCGTGGTATAAAAAGATACATATGTACCTAAAAGTAGACAGTGGATGATGGGAGGCAGATCCATCCCTTGGCGTCTCTTCTCTATAACTAGTATTATTTATTAGGGCGGGGTCAATGATACGGCTTGGTGTTCCACGACATATCATTAATTCTTCCCACCGACATTGACATGATTGTGATCGAATTGCACTCAATTGAAGAAGAATATAATTAAATTGGGCAACATGGGCAACAATCAGCTTGAGTCATTATCCCCAAATTTGTGCTTTAAGCCTTTAATTGGCTGCAATACATTGACTTTGAGGGTGGAAAAGTTGTTTACAACAACTCTCTACAAAGTATATAGCTAGAGATAACCCCCCTCCACCCGTAATAAAGCTGCAGTTGTAAGTTAGAGGTTTATGCATCCAACCGGCCGGATAGTTCCTGTCGGCGAAACAGTCGAAGAAAAAAAATTAGGGATTTGGAAAGCTGCCCTGTCTATCCAGTCATGATCAACTCAACCATTGCAGCTGGTTGAATGAATTAAGCCATATAACCAGCTAGATGGTTTGAGTTTGAGGTCAATGACTACTTCATTGCAATTGTTGGAAAAAAGCTCTCCCTTAAATGGGACCCATATATGCAAGGGAATGAATGTCCTATATAGCTTGAGGCCCAACACAACACAGTAGTCCAACTGGGTAAGGGGAAAGGTAGAGGGCCTGTCTGCAGGCATTACAGAAAGACCTCAAGCTAGCGTCTTATATATCTAAACTGATGAACAATTAGAAAAATCTCAATAAAATTTGGTTTGAGTAAGACAGCTTTATATCATGTCTCAATAATGTCCATTTTCTGTCAACCAGGGGAAGATTCTATATCCAAAGTTCAGCCAAATCTGGATCCTCTGTCTGAATAAGACAGCATTTAGGGGACACATCTGAATAGATATCAAACTTGTAGACAGGATAAGCACAAAGCACAGGAACTAAAGAAGGAAGCTCTAGCTTTCTTCATTTCTGGGATCTGGAATCAGCATCCATTTTCAAAAATGAATTGACGAGACACGTGTCAAAAAGGTTTTTTTTTTTTTTTGGCAGGGTTACATCTCTCGTGTGAACCAATGGTGACTCAACCTTAACCCTACGCCACCCATAAAAAGGGTTGTCCAAAAAGTTGACCCCCAACTGTTTGACTTTTTGCTGTAACACAAATTGGAGGAGTTAAATTAATTAAATTTCAACCTTCATCACTGGACCCTACCCCCCCACCAACAGATTACACAAATCCGGTCAGTTTCATTGCTTTTTGCAGTGGTAGTAGTGGAAGGGAGAATATTTCGCGATTGTCCAACCGCCCATCAGTGCGCTTCCACCATCCAACCATATGCTTTTACTACTACAAATAAAAAATATGAGAAAAAAAAAGGAAGATTTGGAGGAAAATCAGCGAACAATGCATACATGTGAACTGTTTACCATTTCAAGTCTAGAAGGCTAGAACTCAACGAGACGGGTTGAGTAGCAGTCATTAATTAAGGCTTGAGTTGAGGTGAATTGAATTGAAGATTCATCATCTTCTTAATTGTATTGTATATATTAATTCAGTCTTCCTCGTGCATGTTGAACTATCCCATCTTCCTCTTCTATTTATTATTATTTTCTGAAGGTTTCTACATGTTTAATTAATAAATCCATCAGCAGGGTCTTGGACAATGTGTTTCATATAGAAAGGAATTTTTTTTTTTTTTTTAATTTTATCCTAGTTCTCACACAGTTCATAGATCTCTCATCTACCCACAATATAAATTGTCAACTCTGAACGATGTATTGGATCCCACTCCCCATCTACCCATCACAAAAAAAAAAATGAAAGAAATGAAGATTTTCTACACAAAGATGAAAGATTTTAATTATAGCCCCATCAATTCAGTTTTAACAACTTTCAATTAGTGGGGGAAACCCCAAACGCCACACATATTTGTACGTAGCTTGTTGAGTGCCGAGTCGATCTGTGATAGCTTTAAAACATCCACTGTATCAATTCTTATGAATAGGACCTCTGAGGCTTGGTGGCTTGACCACTGGCCACAGATCGATCGACACCTTCAATCTTCAATGGGAAAATAATTTATATATAATATTCTAATTAAGTTTCTAACGTCTTAATCTTCGACTTCTTCCTCTTCTTTATAATTGTATATGTATGTAAGTTAAAGTCTCAATGTTGGCTGCCAACTGCCTACGCATCCTCCACTCATGCTTGGCTTATCATATTCACTTCCTGCGTCACACATTTCCTGCACTGTCTTTCTCTTCAGTTCACAATGAAAATCGCCATTGTCTGTCTAATCCAGCTCCTACTTCTTCTCTGCTGCTTGTATAACACATGGCTCCTAGTCGAGGTCGAGGCTGCCACCAAAGATCTTGTCAAAGGCTTCTCGGCCACTCCGGACTCATCTGTCTCCTCCTTCCAATCCCTCCTCGATGATTCCACAGGTAGCTTTTCTCTCGGTTTCTTTCGAGTTGAGCACTCCCAGCTCGCTCTTGCTGTTCTCCACGTTCCCTCCTCGGAACCCGTTTGGCTCGCCAACCCGTTCCGCTCTGCACGGTGGTCGAAGCCCACTCAGCTTCTCTTCAATGGTAGTTTAGTCTTGTCAGATCCCCGTACGGGTGTACTTTGGTCAACCAGAGCCAACGGTGACCGAGTAGTTCTGCTCAGCAACTCCAACCTTCAAGTACGAGACGGTTCAGGCGCTGTTCTCTGGCAGAGTTTTGATTTCCCATCCGACACACTTGTGGAGAACCAGAATTTCACGGCCAGCATGAAGCTGACTTCCTCGAATGGGCTTTACTCCATGAAACTAGGGGACGACCATATTGGCTTGTATATGAACTTCGATGGAGGTTCAAATCAGATTTACTGGGAGCGCAAAGCTTTGGAAGCGAAAGCAGAAATCGTCCCTGGAAATGGAACGATATATGCTCGAGTCAGCTCGGATGGCTTCCTGGGTATGTACCAGACAGAAAAGGCTCCGGCAGACGTGCAAAAATTCGACAGTTTTCAGATTCAAGTTTCCGGCATCCGGCGGCTCAGGATGGAAACCGATGGAAATCTCAGGGCTCACTACTGGAACGGATCTATCTGGGTTTTGGATTACCAGGAGATAACCAAAGAGTGTGAGCTTCCGAGATCATGCGGATCCTATGGTCTCTGTATTCCGGGGAAAGGTTGTGAATGTCTGGATAACCAGACAGCATACTCCTCCGGTGGATGTCTTCCGCCGGGATCCGGCGATTTCTGCAACGCAAAAACAGAAAAGAGACCTGCGTATTGGGTTTTGAGGAGAAACGGCGTTGAGCTGCCTTACAAGGAGGTGATGGGTTATGAAAAGATGACAACTATGAAAGAATGCGAGAGTTCCTGCGAGAGAAACTGCAGCTGCTGGGGAGCTGTTTTTAACAACGACACTGGGTATTGTTACAGGCTGGATTATCCAATAAACACGTTGGAGGCTGTTGGGGATGAGAACAGAAGAGGATATTTTAAGGTGAGAACAGTGGAAGGGAAGCCGAGAGATGTGGGTTACGCCATTGGGATCGTTCTGCTGGTTGGAGCAAGCTTGATCTTCGTGGGGATTGCTGGGTTTGGAGGTTACAAGATCCTGAGAAGGAGGAGAGTCAAAGGGARACTCGGGGAGGAGGGGATATCGCCCGGTCCTTACAGAGATTTGGGTTCAGCGAGCTTTCGATCGATCGAGATGTGCAAATAGTGACGAGAGTACTGAGTAGTGACTAAGTGGCCGGGACCCTCCCGTTCTCGTCGTCTGATTACTGTCAAGAGTGACCGGGATCGAGATGTGCAGTCTTTGGAGTGACGCACGCACTGACGAAGGTTACAAAGACAAGATAAGAAAACAACCGTCTCACCAGTCCACTGTCCACCGGCTGATATGAGTGTAAACAAATAAGAATCACCCAATCGCTAATTTCGTCGTTTGGCCACGAAGGTAAAGACAAATTCCTGGTAGGCTTATAGCTGAGAGCTCATATCTTATCCGTTTATGTCAATGGATTCTTATTCAATGGGGACCCACACCCACGTGAAGAGCTCTTTTGTTTCGTCAGATTGAAATCTACCGAATATTAAATTTCAAAAGATGCAGATCTAATGACAGAACAATCAACCCAATGGTTCAACAGTTGTTCAAAAACGTTGATTTTTTATGCATTCACAGAAAATGGTATATTTTATAATAATTTGTAGATATCTTGATAATATGTAAGTTTTATCGGATTTAGAAATTAGATTGTTTGACGTGACCTATAGATTCATTTTATATAACCATTGTATTATATCTATAAATTCTATAAATTCTAATTGTAAATATATTGTTAACTTGAATCTGGTCTTATTATATATATATACTTCATTGAAAATTCTCAAATTACAAGAAGCAAATCTTATATATCTTATCTTCCACCCGATTTTTAGGTTGATGGTTCGATCATTCGGTTCGAATAGATGGCTCATTCTAACAATATAAATTATAAGTAAAAAATTACGAAATTGTTCTGGCCACCGGTTTTTGGGTCAACGGATCAATCGTCCGATTCGAATGGATGACCTGCTTTGACAACAAAAATTACAAGCAAAAAATTGAATGTGTGAGGTCTATTAAGCAGTATCATATGTATTATGTCATTCGAGCATGTGGCTCATACGACCCAAAAACGGAACCGTTCTGGCCACCAGTTCTCGAGTTGGCGGTTCGACTGTACAATTCGAACGAATAGCCCGTTCTAACAACAAAAATTAAAAACATAAAAAATGGCCAAAAACCATTTAATGGGTCAACGGGTTGATGGTTCGACTATCCGATTCGAATAGATGACCCGTTTTGACAACAAAAATTTTAAAAATAAAAAACGGCGAAAAACCATTGGACGGGTCAACGGGTTGACCACCCGGGTCAATGGGTCGTTGACCGATTCAACAGTTTTTGGTCAGGGACCGGGATTGGGGTAAAATGGAACCGATTTCCTGGACGGTTCCCAATTAAAAAAATAAAAAACAGCCAAAAATCATTGAACGGGTCAACGGTTCGACCACTCGGGTCAATGGGTCATTGAACGATTCAATAGTTTTTGGCCAGGGACCGGGATTGGGGTAAAATGGAACTGGTTGCCTGGACAGTTCCTGGGCCGATGTCCATCCATCCGGGTCAACGGCGGTTCGAAAACCATGTTTTTTTATGCTTTTGGATTTCACTATTCAAAAGTTTTTTCTACTGTGGGCTTTATTCGAGCGTGTGCGGTATGTTCCTTTTTTTCATTTTCTGCTTTTTTTTGTTTTATTTTGTTTTGTTTTGTTTTTGTGTTTGGTTTTCTTCTTCAAGACCCTCCAAAACAGTGTAGGGTTTACCACCATTTTATTTCTTCCCTTTTGTTTTTTATTTGGGTTTTCTTGTGCAATGTTTCTTCTTTTTTTTTTCTTACAAGACGATCTGTTTTGTCTCTTTCTTTGATTGCATGTATGTTTAGCTCCGTCTTAAAGCGGAATTTTAGACTCGATTTTCTGATTTTTTCCTTGGTTTTTCTAGTTTGGTAGATTTCTCACCATTTTTTTTTATGTTTAAGGTCACTTTAAATTTATCTTTTAAGGTTTTGGAATCCCTTGCAATGTCTACCCTTCCCATGACTATGACTACAAAGTTATTTCATCTAATTATTGACATCAAGAAAAAACAACACAGAAACAAAACTGTTCTGGCCATTGGTTTCTAGGTTCGAATGAATGGCCCGTTCGGGCAACAAAAATTAAAAAATTAAAAAATGGCCAAAAACCATTGAATGGGTCGGCGGGTCGACGATTCGACTGCCCGGGTCAACGAGTCATTGACTGATTTAACAATTTTTGGCTAGGGACCGGGTTTGGGGTAAAATGGAACTGGTTGCCTGGACGGTTCCTGGGCCAAATGGTCCTTACTATCCAGGTCAACTAGGAGTTCTCAATGTGAAACACATGACAACTATGAAGTAGAAATCAGAACTATCAYTGTATGATCGTGTTCTTTTATATGAAACGCTTTGCTGAAACAGTATTTAAAAAACGAGCACATGATGATCTCTTTTAAGTCTTTATATGAGTTTCAAGACTAGAATATAATTACAAGTTTCTTATTGAGAAACCATTATCTTTTTTAATGTAGCAAATAGCAATGTTATAATTCTATTCGCAGAGGCTCCTAGTTAATACATATCTTAAAAATGGAATGATTACTTGGGCCTAATGTGATGCATGGGCTTTGTTAAACGAGATTGAAACAAGAGGATCCATTTTATGTCCCTATGCATTTCATGTTCAAATAGAGAATACTAATTTTTTCCAAAGAGAACCCAACTTATTAGGCTTAAACATTATTTAATAATGCATCTAATCAGATATTAATGGTAATTTCACCTCTTTGTTTACATTAATTAATATTTATATTATTTTTAATTGGGTTTTTATTCATTTGTGTAAATTTTGAATGAAATTTAAATAGATTTTAAGTTAATATAGTTAATTTAAAAATTAATAATTTTTGTACTTTTAGTAATCTTTACTATTTTTGTTAAGTTTTTATTAAGTTATTAACTTAGTTAACAACTTATTTCATTTCGTTATTAATTATAAAAATAAATAATTAATTAACTTATTAAGTTAATTTAATTACGTAATTCGATGTAGGTTAATATAATTAGTTGGTTAGGCCTTCATGTAACATGGTAACTAAGAAATAAGGACCTAATTTGGCCAGTTATTATAATGGGATTGGCCTTCGTGTACCACTGTAAATATGTCAAGTAGCTAGTACCCTAATTGATTATCTTCTTCACCCATTTAACGAGAAATGGGTAGGCAAAATAGGAAGATTAATTATAATTAGTAGGTTTATGTAGTTCGTTGAATTATATATTATTGACATGTAATCTCCTTCATCAATTTTCAAATCATGATAGGGGTAGCAGCCACCCCAAATTCCTCCTTTTCCTTTTATTCATTAAAAAAACCCTCTTTTTTTTTATTTTCATTTAAGGCTAAATTAGTTGATGGATATTTATTTAATGGATATATTACAGGAGAAAAGTGAGGATAAGAGAAAAAAAGAGTAGAAACGTAGGGAATAGATTGTAGGAATGTGGGAGGGAGGGAGAGATATAAGTAGAATAACAGAGAGGGTATGTTAAGTTGGACAATTGCGTTGGGGACCATTTCCATATACGGGTTTTGTTAAGGCTTAGTTTGGAAGGAGTATAAATACAAATTTCTAGAATGTAAAACCTTATGGCTGTGTTTGGAAATAATGCAAATAAGTGTGAATGCAAATATGTAGAGTGTTAAACGGTTCAACAAATTGTAAAATTGGGTTAGTTTTACACTAACAAATTTACCTTCTTACCAAACAGACTTTTAGTTGTAATAGACGCAAATATGAATTCCAATAAAGAAAATACTTTTTTTTTTAATCAAAAGATCACTTGAATGAATTGGAGACCCGGTAGGGAGTGGAATCGCTATAGAGCTTACGTGATTTCCATGATGGTCTCTAACAATGATACCAACACCAGTATAGAAATTCCCACTGCCCCAACCAATCAAAGGTTTTGACCMTAAAGTTTGTGGTAAGTTGATGATTTCATTCATAAAAGGATCACTTCTTGTAGTTGATGTAAACGTGAAGAAGTCACTAATACCTCTTGCATGATTAAGTATGACTACAGGGTCGAAAACCCTTTGCTCAAAAACATGCTCATTTCTGTATGTCCATATTAGCCACAACAAAGAGGAGCCACACAAGAAGTAAGGAAARCCTGTGTCATGTTCAAGGTCCCACCATACTGAGAGCCAATCAACCACACTCTGATTCTGAAACCCTTCCATTCTTAGGTTCATATTGGAGCCAAACCGCCGTTGGACAGTAGAGGAGAATGTGTTCCAAGGAATCAACTATTTCTCCACATAGATCGCATGTGGTGTCACTAATTTTGAAGTGCTGATATAAACATTCTTTAGTTGGCACAGTTCTATATATACAATGCCAAATGAAGAGTATAATTCTTGGGGGAAGATTCTTGTAGTACCAAAGTTGTTTCCAAGTTAATCTACCCAAAATATTTTCCTTGCCTCAGCATTCGTTTTCCTCTAATAAGAGGAGTTTTAAACAAGACCAAGTGGAGAAATTACCATGAGGAGTAGGAGTCCACACCAAACAATTCATTTTTTGAGATGTAGGCAAGTTGATGAGGGAAGATTTGACCTTCCACTGACAGTAGGATACATGGCATCTCAGAACAGTTAGATGACACCTCGACACCACTTAGGCGATGATTTGCCTTAGCCAAAATGATGGAGTCCCAGTTGGCGACTTACCTCTAGAGGCCTACCTCCACCAACTTGGAGGAAACCTAACTGGCAACCTTATCCACAACTCAGGGCAGCTAGCAGCATCTTGTCAAGGGCTGACCTATGATACCTCAACAGTATTGGCCGAAGTGACCTCGACGTGAGGAGCAACCTCCCTTGAGGGCTTTCCGACCTGATTGAGGTCCAGGAGGCAACCTGCGAGATATTTTCGTCGACCAATTCTGCATACATCCTATCACTCCCGGGTCTCTCGCAAGTTGGCTCCCACACCAAATGTTCTGGAGGAAACCGAATAAGGTGCAAAGATTGGTCTACGTGCATGACTACCTCTGAAGACTTTAGACTAGTTAGACACGTTTTTTCTAGAGATCTTGGACGCAGTGCGTAAAGCCCACACCAAACAATGCCTATATAAGGGCCTTACCTCCAACCTCAAAAAGTATGCACAATTCAGGTCTTATAGCTCTTTAACTGTCTTACTTTTAACTCTCTCAAAAATCTCCAGCTCGGTGACTTAAGCATCAAAGTGCCCATTCCGGCTAAAGCAACCTGAGCACTTTCACATTGCTTCCTTGCAAGTTGCCCCAATAAACTATACAACTCGTCATTATTTAGTTTGGCGTCCGAGCCATCTTCCAGCTAGAAACTGTTCAATTAGGCATCCGAGTCACCTGCCAGCCAGGAACTACCAAAACACGCATCATCAATAGCTGAATC